ATTTGAGGTGTATCTAAAGGAATAACAAAACATGTAAATGATGCATCTACTTCCAAATTTAGGAGTGTCTACCTCTTATTTGCAGTCTCAAAACTCCCATTTGTCAATATAATGCGAGTATAGATCAGAATATGAGTTTTAGTAAAAAGAGTCCAAGTTTTCTGATTTTCATAGGAGATTTGAGGTGTATCTAAAAAAATAAGAAAACATGTAAATGATGCATCTCCTTCTAAATTTAGGAGTGTCTACTTCTTATTTGCAGTCTCACAACTCTTATTTGTCAATATAATGCGAGTATAGATCAGAATATGACTTTTAGTAAAAAGAGTCCCAGTTTTCTGATTTTAATAGGAGAGTTGAGGTGTATATAAAGGAATAAGAAAACATGTAAATGATGCATCTCCTTCCACATTTAGGAGTGTCTACCTCTTATTTGCAGTCTCACAACTCCCATTTGTCAATATAATGCGAGTATAGATCAGAATTTGACTTTTAGAAAAAAGAGTCCCAGTATTCTAATTTTCATAAGAGATTTGAGGTGTATCTAAAGGAATAAGAAAACATGTAATAATGCATCTCCTTCCCTATTTAGGAGTGTCTACCTCTTATTTCTAGTCTCATAACTCCCATTTGTCAATATAATGCCAATTTGGATCAGAATATAACTTTTAGTTAAAACAGTCTAGGTTTTCTGATTTTCATTTGAGATTTGAGGAGTATCTAAAGGAATAAGAAAACATGTAAATGATGCATCTCCTTCCAAATTTAGGGGTGTCTACCTCTTATTTGCAGTCTCACAACTCCCATTTGTCAATATAATGCGAGTATAGATCAGAATTTGACTTTTAGAAAAAAGAGTCCCAGTTTTCTAATTTTCATAAGAGATTTGAGGTGTATCTAAAGGAATAAGAAAACATGTAATAATGCATCTCCTTCCACATTTACGAGTATCTACCTGTCATTTGCAGTCTCACAACTCCCATTTGTCAATATAATGCGAGTATAGATCAGAATATGACTTTTAGTAAAAACAGTCCCAGTTTTCTGATTTTAATAGGAGAGTTGAGGTGTATATAAAGGAATAAGAAAACATGTAAATGATGCATCTCCTTCCACATTTAGGAGTGTCTACCTCTTATTTCTAGTCTCACAACTCCCATTTGTCAATATAATGCGAGTAAGGATCAGAATATGACTTTTAGTAAAAAGAGTCCAAGTTTTCTGATTTTCATAGGAGATTTGAGGTGCATCTAAAGGAATTTTCAACAACAGTACCACAAAAATCAGCTGATGGGGGCTTCACAGGGTAAGAGACTTCTTTATGAACTTTTGTGAGCACCACTCTCTGAGTATCAAAGTCAATTATTCTCCTGTGGTGTTGAGGAATGCAGTTCCAAGCAATAGAGGAAGTTCCTTAGTTTTCTTCATCTTCATGACTACAAAATCAGTGAGGATTATGCATTCACCAACTTTTAGTGGATAGTCTTCCAGGATCCCATAAGGTTTGTTTGAGTTAGAATCTCCAAAGGTAATTGAAGAAGGGTAGTCCTTTAAGTTCTTGATCCCTAGCCTCTCCACCATGTCTAGAGACATCACATTAACATTTGATCCAGAGTCACACAAAGCATTATCAACCTTGAAATCTCAAAGAGAGCAAGACATAGTGAATTTCCCAGGGTTACCTAGCTTTGGGAGGGTTGTTGGCTTCACCAGTGTTGAATAAAGGCTAGAGACTCTATCTTTGGGCATTGCTTGATCAACTTGATGTCCATTTGCTTAAACAAACACAGAATTGTTCCATTTCTGAACAAAATCATCCCAACTCTGATCAAAACATGCTGCCTCCTCACCTTCTCTAGCATAGGAACTTGCAAACTTTGTATAACTGGTAATCTAGATCATGGATGTGTACTTGGCTTGAATTCACGGGTAACAGGCATGAGATCAAAATATATAAGAAGAACACAGTCTCACTCGGCAAATATCGATGACTATTTATCATAAAATTCAATTGGTGCGGTAGTATAAATTTTATGACCCTGTAAAGTAACGAAACAAAAATCCAATCATTTAACATTACAAAAAACGTAAATATAAAACAACAAAATTTAGGGACTATACCTTCTAATCGGCCATTATAAAATTTAACGTGTGGTTACACTCGGGAAGTTGATTAAATTTCCGTAAGACTTTCAACTTGATCTTCCTTACATACTCAGCAGGATCGAGTTCGGACACCCCAAACAAATTTTGATCATACTTTTTATGAATGGTGACTGCAAGGAAATAAGCCATTTATTTTATATGCAAAATCTCAGTTTCAATAGAACTATGACGACTGATAGCAAAAGCGTTTTAAATAAACCACAACTTGTTTACTATTTATACAGTATGACATAAAAGGAGATATTGGTTATTTTACATTTTTGTGGTAAGGAATTGTTTTACTAAAAAATCTTTATCTTTCGATGTTAAGAAAATAATCCTCGAGTAAACAACATCATCATTAATAATTTAATAATATCGCAATTGGAATATCATAATTTTAATGCGCCTACGTTTAGTTATTCCTATTAAACAACATCACAGAAAAGATATAAATTACTAAAACGAAGAAGGTCAAATTATATATAGATAACCCAATGTCAAATTAGATATACAATATATGTATAGTACCTGAGGAGTTCATTATGAAAGGTATAAGGTAAAGGCTCGATGAACGCTATAAAATAAATTACAACTAAAAATAAATTACAACTAATATATATTTATATTATTATTTGTGAAATCAAAAATCATATGTGGCAGCACCATCTTATGTGGCAATAATAAAAAATATTACGTGTCATTTTAATTCGTTTTGATAAGTTATTATTAATCCTATGTGTCTTACTCATATATATTTTTGTCGAGAACTTTTATTCTTATCGTTGACATGGCGTTTAATCTATTTTTAATTGGTATTTCATTAATTGATGTGCATGTATATGATGACATATATTTTACTATTTGGTTTTACGCTTCAAAAACTTAATTGAAACTAAAGCCCAATTGACATCCAGCCACTGTTTTCGTTAAAAGAACACCTTTTTAATCTTTTTTTTTTAATTTACCAAAGCCTAAATTGTATAACTACTATATGTAAAAAGTGTTTGTAGATCATTTATATTTATGCAAGTTAAGTTTTAGTGATTCTCTATCATCTTATGATTGTGAGAGGTAGATTTCTTTGGTGTTTTATGGATATGATTAGAGTTTATTTCATATTTGTAGTGTTCATCATTTTTGTGCCTTCGTTTTTTATATATTTAATTTTCGCTTGGTTTTTAATTTTGTTTTTCTTCACTGCTTAATAGCTTATAGATCAAAGAATTTTTTTTTTTGTTTTGTAGGATGATTTACTTCTAGGGATAATGGAGTGGTGTATATGCCTTGTTTCTTTTCATTCAACGTAGCGGTTTCCGGTATATTTCATTAGCGGTACTTTTTTTTGCTTTTGTTTTGTTCACGATTTGTTCTGTAAGTTAGTTTGCATTTCTTTATCTAATTTTTTTGGGTTTTCACTGAGATGTAATCGTTGTCTTTTATTTTGGTTGCCTTTTACTTTGGTTTTAATCGTTGTTCGTGGTTCTTCCATACTTATTCATGAAAAGAGTTGTTTTTTTTTTAGGTTGATCTAATTTTTGGGGTATTTGGTACGGTGTATCCGTTGTCTCTGTTCTTACGAGTTATATTATGAGTCATGCTTTAGTATTTTTGTTTTATCTTTTCTGGTTTTTTTTTATCTCTAATACATGTTCCACTGTCTCTTGCTTTCGTTTTGTGTTTGTTTGTGCTTTAGTAGATTGTGTTTTAATTTGGCTTCACTATATTGCGGTTTATAGTGTCTGCCATGGTCTTTTGTGAGTTCTAATTTTGTAGTGCTTGCGTGTGGTTGTTTTTGGCTGTGGCTTTATCAAAAAAAAAAAAAAAAAAAAATTTTGATGTCTTGTTTGTTTTTCAGGGTTTCTAATTGATTAGGCTATTTTAGTCTTTACTCCATGCAGTTATTTTACTAACTTATACATTTCTTTCTTTTGTTTGCTTTTGTAGGTGGTTCAGAAATGTCTTAAGTAATCGTGTTTTGAATCTAGGAGTATTGTTTTGTGTTTTGAGGATGGTTGCGAGAGGAACCATGCTTGTATCTATATTGGTTTCTTTGTTAGGTGTTGGGTCGCGATCTATGGTTTTCAGGTTAACTGTGTTGTGTGTCCTTTCTGATCTGTCGAGGTATATGTATGTTTTGTATGTGTCACGTCTACAAGCTTGTATGGTTTTCGTTTTCTTTGTTCTGATTTCGCATCTATGCTATTGTTTTTTTTTTGTTGTCATTTTCTTGATTGAATGATTTGACTTTTGTGTTCATGCTTATCTGATTGATTTTACATCGTATTGATCTTTTTTGCTACAAGTTCGAATAATTTTTGATATGGTTTTAGGGCATAGATATTTGCTCGGTGTGTGTGTATCTTTTCTGTTCTACCGAGATACATGTTTCCTCTGTATAACTTTATGAACTTGTGTGTTATGATTTCTTCTGCTTAGCTATTTTTTTATTACCTTTTTCTGTTTTTATTGATCTAATTATTTTCTGCTTTGTTGGTTCATATCGGTTTTGAAATAGATCTTCTGGTTTTCGTTTTTGCCTTCTCTTTTTTTTTTTTAATTCTTTTGGGTTTGCTTTTGTTTTGCTTTTTACACAAAAAAATCGATATGCTATTCCCTTCTATATATCTTATTTTTTGTACGTTATCGGGTTTGTTGTTTTTTATTTTTTGTAGGTACTGCTTATTTGAGACCATCCACCGCCTTGAGGGAAAAGCTAAGGGAAGATAAAGTAAGCACAAAGTTCAGCCTTCACCCAGAACCACTTCTCTGTTTTTCTCTTTGCATTGGTTCTCTCTCTCAGATCCAGTGGTAATTTCTTGGGATCTTTATTACTTATCTTATTCTCATATATTCCAAAGCTTTAGTCACTTCAAAAATCTTGATTCTCTTGTGCAAATTTATGGTTATTATAGGTGAATGAATTGGCGCTCTCATGATTGAAATGATAGCAGTTAAAAACTCATGGCATCAAACATTTTTTTTTTAAAGAGGAACTAAAAGCTTCGAAAAGAGAGTTTATTCAGGCAAATGTGGTTGTAAAGATGCAGAAGAGAGTGTTTTTACCTAAGATCATAGAGAGGTTTACAAAGAACGCTTCTCTGAACTCTGACAATTCGACGAGATGGTTCATAGATAACGCAGACGAAAAGCTTTGGGAATTGATACAAAAGTGTGTAGAAGGTAGACCAAACTACAAGAAAGCATCTCAGGTTGTTGTCCGTTATGATTTCTCAAAGGACTTCATGGAAAAAATAGCCTTAGTGGGTTTAAATGGATTTTTCTGGTGCTCTAAGAACCCCTTCCTTAATTCTCTCTGCTTTTGAATAGAGTCAGCACAAATCCTGCCAACATGATCCAATGGTTTTAAGATATAGAGAAAACATTTACATAAAAAAGGAAAACGAACAGTACTGTTCTATCAACGTTAAGATGTCTTTGCGCATAAATTATATGTTTCTGAATTCTGAAATGTCGGATTTAGGCTCTATCTATAATCAATCCGGATTTACCACTAGAATGCTGTTAATTTTTGTTACCATTGGTCCAAAATTCAAATAATTAAGAAATTGTTCTATCTGATGAATATAATTTACATCAGCTTTTGGTTTTCAATTATAGAATTTGATTCTTGATGTTTGAGAACTTTTAACTATCCAGTTCAAATTAATTTTAAAATGAAAATTTGTTTCGGTCAATTTTCACTCATTGATTTTTTCAGTAAACCGGATTGTCACATAGAACCAATCAAATTATGGATTCTTTTTCTTAAATCTTAATCGCTTTTAGCATAAATTTTCATTAGTAAGGAAACATTTTCCAAGTTCTGAATATGAAAGTTTTAGCTATATTATATGCAATAATCAAATATAGAATCAAAATTAAAAGAGAAGAAATTAGTTTCTGTGTTTTTCGATTTCATTTGAGGTAATGTAGTTATCTCCTATTGTCCATGGTGGAATTCTACTAAGTTTGTTGCTTTAAACGGAGTTTTTCTATTATACAAACAATTTTTTTATGTTTAGTATTGAAATGTCAATTTTTGTTGAATTTTGCACCAACTATTTGGCAGGACTGGCTTGAGAAACATAGAGAGTATGAAGCTATAGTGGATGAAGCAAATGTTGGGATCTACCACCAAAATTTTCCAAATGGTGGTTTCAGTTTTCCACAGTCTTCTTGATTCACCAAAACAAGAAAAATGAAAGAAGACAGAAGACAAAAGACAAAGAACATTGGTGAAGTCCTATGTTTAATTTTATATTATTTTATGAAAACGTTTAGCATTTCAGCAATTTGAGACATTTATTTGAATTGATTTTTTGTGTTACTTATTAGACCATGTTATGTACATCAAATTTTCTTATAATGTTCTTCTTTTAATCTCATGTTTCTTATTTAAGGGTTTATATAATAAATAGTGACACTTAAAGTCTGCAGAATACGAACATTATTAGGGAGTTGAGAGCCGTATTATACCTAATTTGTGACAGTCTGTAATTATTATTTGATGTAAGAACCAAGGGGTTCCCACGGGTAACAAGGTTGTGGTGAGATAAAGCAGGCGGTTGCTTTCTCTTTGGCTCGGTGAATGAACGTAGGATGGGGATCTGACACGCAGGCGGTCGCCCTCTCGTGTGGGATCTAGGGATGATGTGTTGGCGGAGTGAATACACGACACAGAGGGATGGTGATTCTTTGATACGGTGCAGGAGCTCACGCTTGCTTGAATCTCACAAGAAAGCAGTGAACAAGATGAGAAGCCGCTTCTCGATAAACTTTGAAGAAAGTTCGTTCTTTTATTGATAATGGGAAAAAGGTTGGTGACTACAAAGCTGCGTGTGGGACTTTATAAATAGTCCGTCAGCTTGAACCTTCTAGGGTTCGACTCAAAGAAAAGAAAAGGACTCAAAACGACAGGACTTTGAAAGGAAATGACAAGAAACAAACCTAGTCTACGAAAACATAAACTCATCGTTTCATTTAATACAAAAATGGAAAGTTTGCTTAAGACTCTTTAAACTAAACTACTGACGTCGTTTTGATGTTGTACTTAGCCGTTGTGAGGGCCGAGATCACCTGCAAGAACGATATAATAATTGAAAAGCTTACCTTGGTGTGAAGGGTTCCGGTTGGCCGCTTGTGTAGCTGTGATGGCCGAGCTTGAGGCGGTGGCGTCCTTGGCTTGGAACCTTCTTGTAAAGTCCTCTAAATGCTTTTCCAATGTAGCTAAGTCCTTGTCTTCAAGTCCCCAAGCTTTTTGGTGCTCCGTCCTAGTTTCTTGGTCTTCTTGGCCTTTCTCGGGTCCGGGTGGTGTATTGTGAAGCATCTCCTAATCTGCTCGTTGGAGGGACAAAATTCCACGTTCATTAGCCTCAGTATATATACTTGGACGAGAGATCTTACCTTTGTTGGAGGTTTCCAAGTCATCTGGTGGCTCCAGCCCAGGTGTCTTTGATTTATCGACTAAATCTTGTATGGGCTCGGCCATCTCATTATCCGCTCGGGCAAACGTGTTTCTGTCTCGTCCGTTAGATTCAGCTGGTGATTTTGGTCGAGCAATGTCAGCTTCAGTACGACAGATTCCATCGCCAAATTGGTCTGGCCGAGGTGACACTGATTTCTCGGCTAAAATCTCTCGCGTCTCGGCCAAAGTTTCTCGCGTATCGGCCATTTTGGAATCATCCTTTAGTTCTTCAAGTTTTAAGCCTGAAAATGACATTCTGCTCGGACTGTTAGCATTTAAATCAAAAACTGGTCGAGAGATAACCATTTTGGCCTGAGAGATTCGGTCATCTGATGGGTCATTTCTGGATCCCAAGTATTCGGCCCCGGTTTGGCCACAAAGCTCGTTGAAGCCGTATATGACATTCGGGTCGGGCAACAACGGGTCGTCTGGTTCTAGGGAGTTGATAAAGATGTGTAAGGCTCTCTTGTATCTATTTCTGAGTTGTTTAATCTTGGAGTGTGTCATGGCCCCGTCTTGGACGGATGGCATTAGCCCCAGTAAAGTCTTAGGGTCGATGTCCACATCATTATTGATACCTAATTTCTGAAAATCTGTAATTTTTGACACTAAAGCAGCAACACAAACAACGTCAATAGTGACATGTATAGCTCCTAGCTCTCTAGATAACAAAAGAGAGAAGGAGAAGTTGAAGGAAACTAGATTAAACCTATCTATTGTGGAATTTTTCTATCATGAAGGAGAAAAATAAGAAAATTCTCGAGCAAGAGAGAGAGAGAGGGAGAGAGAGAGAGAGAAGGAGAGTAATGGAAACTGAAAATGGAATATTTCGATAAAGTTGAATACGGAGGCAGAAGACAACAATGAGATAAAGAAACATCCAAAGAATAAGAAATCGGAAGAAAGAATATGAACTCAGAGAATATAAAGATAATGAAGAAATTAAAAGGAACAAGAAGAAGAAGAAGAAAATCAAGACAAAGCTGAAGAAAAAAAAAGAAGCTTTGGAAGACGAAGACAATAAAGAAGAAGAAGAAATCGAAGATGACAAAGTAGACGTCAAAGGAGAATATAGAGAAGACGAAGAGGAAGGGTAATGAGAAAGAAAAGGTAGAAGATCAAAACAAAAGAAAAACCAGAAGAGAAAAAATATCAAACATATGATTCAGAGAAGATGAAGATGATGATGAAGATGACGAAAGAAGATAAAACTAATTGATATATAACTAGAAAATAAGATTGTAACCAAGTCGGAAATGATCGAGAACGATGACGACATGACTAACGAAATAAAAAAAA